AGGTAGATAAACTCAGAATGACATTTCAGCTAAATGAAAAGTAATTATTTGAGTGGGTATCCCAGCCGGCAAAGCTAACAGTCCTTCTCTAGTGAAAACCCCTGTGAGTCTGTAGTAACTTCAGTCATGAAGTACAATACACTGAATATGGCATCTTTTGCATATGGCAACAGTGATTCAAGGAATTAAAAAAAATACTTCTAGCAATGTTGGCTTTACATAACTTCCCTGAGTAGTACTGTCAGAGCTTTAATATCACTACAGGAGAGAATAAGACGGACAGACTGCTGCAGGATAAATCTCTAGCACAGCCCCAGTGAAGCAAGAGCAGACACAGCTCTGATCTGAATGGGGGGCTGCTGTGCAGCTTTAACCCTGCTGCATGGTACAGGGTCAGTCCCCCTTATTTGACAGCATGGTAAGGTGTCAGTTTCTCCTCAGGGGGATCCAGCAATAAGGAGACAGAGAGAAGCAAGAAGGCAGGAGCTAACAATATAACAGCTTTGTGATCATTGTCCGGCTACCAGTACAAATCCTTCATTTTACCAGTTAGAAAGTTATGTAGGAGGGGATTTCACTTCTGTCAGATAAGACGGTAAGTTCGATATTGGCAGTGTGAAACCCACAGTCTCACAGTACATGCTTCCAGCCCAGAATACCTGCAGTTTTCACCTGTCCTCCTTTTCCCTGGGCTGGCCTTTACACAACCATCAGAGCACAGCTCATGCAGCTGGGCTCAGACAGAGTCACCAGCATGGCTACACTGACGCTGCAGCAGGATCTCTGGGCTCCCAGCTTTCAGCAGAAGAGATGCATCCTCTCTCTCTATTTTGTGGATACAATTTGGGGATGACAGGAGGTTTTATTACCCAGTTCTCCACACCTTGTTGGAAAAAACTTTCTGGAATCTAATCAACTTCCCAACAAGAAAAGTAAATTTTTGCTGATGACAAATCTAGAAATTCTGATTTTTAATGAGCTATGGTAACGAAGATTGTAGTAAAAAGGTCAGTCGTGCCTCTGTGAGCATCTTGTCTGAGGAACAGTGAACAAGATAGCAGAACTGAGCAAAAGGAGCTACAGGCTCAAACTGCACACTAAAAGTGATGTGAAAACATCACTTGCAATATAAAAGTGCTTGCTGCTGGGTCTGGGCATCATCTTTTTTACTTCTAGACCAGAATAACTGAATACAGAGTTTTAAAAACAAACTGGTGGAAACAGTTGTCAGCTACATAAGATTTCTGAGTAGAGAAAGTGGCCCATTTGACTGGTGAAAAGACCTGAGGGAGCTGAGTCCTAGAGTCTTTCCACCTAACTCAGTTGCTTTGCCTAAGTACAGAGTATGAATTGCCCTTGGCTCACACAGGCACCTCCAAGACAGAGTCAGATCTTAGGCTGGCTGAAATCCATGAGGTTAAGTGGGAATGGGCAACAAAATCTTAATACAATTTCTTTTACACTTACCTAAGATAAGCATTGAAGTTCATCTCTGTGCAGTTATCTGTTTCTAGAAGGAATTTTCAGAAGGATGCAGGTATTCCCTAAAATGACTTGGACTGAAATGAAAGACATCTTTTCTGCTTCTTGCCCTAGCTAACAAAAACTCCCGCTTTACGTATTCCCAACTGAGAGGTCTCTCCCCCCTGAACCAAATCCTCTGTCAGAAAGAGGACAACTCACTGATCTTCGAAGCACGGTTTGAAAGTGGGAATTTGCAGAAGGTGGTCAAAGTGTAAGTTTCTAATATTTTCTCCTTTTATTAAGGTGGCATTATTATCAGAGTTCTTATTATCAGCAGCCTGCTATCAGTTTCTGACCCAGATGTTTTACTCTGGGTCTGTAACTTGTTTTACATTAGTTGAATAACCTTCAAAAGCAGTTTCAGGTAGCCTTCACTTGAAATTATCTGATAGCCATTCCACAGCACTGAACATTTTCTATAGGTGATAATCAGCCACACAAACTCAACAGCTTTTCTTAAGCACCTCCTTTTAAAGCATAGTGTGGGGAATGTTTTTAGAAGTCCTAGTTATTATTAATAGTCCTAATGAAGACAGCAGTTGCATTATTGACACACTCAGTGCGATCAGGCATCTTTTCCTGGCAGCTGCGTAGACTTTGATTTATGACAGTGTAAATCAGATTTGCACCTGATTCGCTGCAGGGTGCTTTTTCATGGCAGTCCGCGTTATTTGACACTGCATCATACTCTAGGTCTAACCAGCATGACAACTGTTTGTCATCTTTCTGCCCCCCAGCAATGAATTTGAGTACCAGCTGACCCTGCGCACTGACCTCTACACAAGCAGACACACGCAGTGGTACTATTTCCAAGTCAGCAACACGCAGGCAGGGATGCCGTATCGCTTCACTATTGTCAACTTTACCAAGCGTAACAGCTTATATAAACGTGGCTTGCGGCCACTGTTGTACTCAGAAGCTGATGCTAAGAAACACAAGGTTGGCTGGCGAAGGACTGGAAATGAAATTAAGTATTACAAAAACAATGCGGGCCAAGATGGACGTCAATATTTCTCACTCACTTGGACGTTCCAGTTCCCTCATGACCGAGACACCTGCTACTTTGCCCACTGCTATCCTTACACCTACTCCACCCTGCAGGAATACCTGATGGCCATCTCTAGAGATCCAGTGAAGTCCAGATGCTGCAAGATTCACATCTTATGCTATTCACTGGCAGGAAACATAGTGTATGTTTTAAGTATCACCAACCCCTCTCAAAGTGGCAAGGGCACCAAGAGGAAGGCTGTGATAGTAACCGCGAGGGTGCATCCAGGAGAAACTAACAGTTCCTGGATAATGAAGGGCTTTCTGGATTACATTCTTGGCGACTCAGACAAAGCTCAATTCCTGCGGGACAATTTTGTCTTCATAGTGGTGCCCATGTTGAATCCAGATGGTGTGATTGTGGGAAATCACCGCTGCTCTTTAACAGGTCAGGACTTGAACCGCAAATACAGGTCTAATGGGAAGAAATTTTATCCTTCCATCTGGTATACCCGAAACATGATCAAAAGGTAACCTCATTTTCTTTCGCTTTAGAAGGGATGTTTTTCCTTTCCACTGTTCCTTTGTTAGTATGACTTCTCTATGTCCCTTGTTGTTTTGGTATTGTTTACATCTTTGCCCATACCCAAGCCTGTCTGACTTTTGGTTTCTGTCCAGTTGCATTTCAGTGTGGGTTATTTTTTTCTTCGGTATTGCACAGGTTTTCCTTTAATATCCTTTCTCCATTCCTGGTAATAAGTTGTATTTCCAAAGTAAAATAATTTTCATCAAACATTTTCAGCAGATTTCTCCTGACTATCCTCTGCTAAAGTCTACTTATTAGATTCCTTATTTGTTTCATTTTCTTCTTTTCTGGCATACAACCAGGTACCAGAATGAAGTTAGGTTCAGAATAGATCCCAGATGTCCATTTGACAGCAAAGATACCCGGTTTGCTGTATATTTTGCTACAAGTATGTTTGATTTCTTATGCAGACTTCCAGTCACAGAGACATTGATACTCTGGATATAAAACTAACCCTTCGGGTATTAAACTAAACTTTCAGCTAGTAAACTAAATCCCTCTGGTTTAACTTCTGTAGCAAACTAATACAAACAAAACCCTTGTGCAAAAAGCCAGTGTCAGAATTAGTATATTTAATGTTTTTCATCTAGTTACAACCTGTTTTAAATAAGATCTGTGTTCCTTCAACTGAATGTTGTGGCATGTAGATCCCTAGCTTTCAGAGGATGAGCACTGTGCCTCTTCTTTTCCAAGGGAATTCCTCTTTCTGTCTTACTATATGGAGACAGCCTGCACTTGTGAGTGCCCTGTAATTAATATTAATTATATCTGCTGAAGTGCTACTGACCTTCAGCCTCATACTCAGCTACTGTCAGCTGAGACAGATTTGTTTGTTACTGCTTTCTTCTTAGTTCCACAGTGGATTTTTAACTCCTGCCCAGAGTAAAGCCCCAGGTGACAAGCTGTGGTGCCATCACATCTTCCCTGTAGAGCTCTGCTTCAACACATATTGGGCATTGGGGGTGGGGAATGCTAAGCCCCGATGTGTCTATACCTGCAAATTTTCTTTAAAAAGTTAGTTAAGCAATAACACATTGCATAATCTTGGCACATCATAGAAATTGATTTCTCCCGTTTGATAAAGGAAAGAGTATTTGCTGCCATTTATGCTTTAGTCTCATAATTGTACAGCATGTATTATTCAACACGTGCAAGAGTGAAAGAGCAGCAGATAAAAATAGTGGGTTTCAGCTGTACAGTATGCTCATGTACACAGGTACAGAGCTGGATGTATGTAACTGAGCCCTGAGAGTTGGAGCAAACACATGGACAAAGGCTGATGATACATACACTCATAACCTTATTTCTGTGCAGTGACAAGTGTTTTATTCTGGAGGGAACTGAGCAGTTTCACTTTAATCTAGCACCCTAAAGGTTTAATTTAGAGCTCAGAGTATGAACTTGTATTGATTTCTTGTGCTTTAGGTTACATATGAGCTTCAGTGTAACATATTAGCTCAGACTTACTTCTGAAGTGGAGAAAAAAACTCCCCACTTTTAATAAAGTATTTTATGTCATCCCATATTACAGAGTGATGGGGGAACGTGATGTTTTTCTGTATTGTGACATCCATGGTCACAACAGGAAACAAAATGTCTTCATGTATGGTTGTGAGAGAAAGAAGCAATCAAAAGCACCAGATGTGCATCCACGTGTCTTCCCATTCTTGCTGAGCAAGAGCTGCCCAGATAAGGTAAGCAAATATCTTGCTAGAAATTTACTCACCTGAAAATTCAAGCACCTTCTGGGATCCCTAATTTTTTGTTGAGGTATCACATTTACAAAAAGACTGCACTCCACCCAGTAATATAATCTTAAATTGGCTAACTAGAAATTGTACGAATATGAAATTTTAACTTTGAAATTCCAGCACTCAAAAATGTATCATGCTGAATTTGTACATCAAGTTAGCATTTTTAAAAAAATTTTTTAAAAGAATGAAAAAAAAACGGAATATCAAGCTAGCATTGTTTTAACCACATCAAACACTAACATTAAATTTTGTGTACTCCTACATTAAATGCATCTGTATTATATATATTGTAGAATTAAAAACAAACAAGTAAGCAAATACGAAGCTAAAGAAGAAAAATGTTTCTCCAGATTGAATCCTTTTGAAAACTTCTGTTGAAAATTGTGTCAAAATCACCATGTTTGTGTAAGATATTTCACTTAGGAAAACAAAAAAAGTTTAGTAGGAAATTATAGCTTTTAAAATATGTCATTTTCCAGCAAAATCTGACTGCAGTAAGCTTCTTTTGAACCAGAAATGATGCCAAGGCTCAGGAATAAAACAACACACAAACTATCCTACTAGATGTCAGTGCATACTTGCAGCTAATGCTGTTTTCCTCAGATTCCAACTTTTTAGTAAATATGCATGTTGGTATAGAACAGGATTTGTGATGACTCAACTAACATAGGATTGTTTAGAAACGGTAAGTACAGCCACATACTAAATTATTTGCAGATGTCTCAGAAATCCTTAAGGTCAGACAAACTTTAATCGAAGAGCTGTTATTTCACGTACATCTCCATTATACCAGTAATAACAGTATGCTCTGAGCTATGTTGTGCAATATTCAAGTAGAGTGAAAACTCACAATTGTCTACCTGGTAGATAAGAATTCATTTTAACCCTGCAAGTTTTGTTTTTTTTAAATTATTGCATCTTCCTATTTACTTCAAAGGCTAATGCTGTACCTGTCTTTTAAGTTCTCATTCCCAGACTGCCATTTCAGAGTACGAAAGAGCAAACAAGGCACAGGTCGAGTGGTGATGTGGAAGATGGGTGTCAACAACAGCTACACTTTGGAGGCCTCTGTCTGTGGCTCTAAGTTGGGTGAGGCAATTCCCTGGAGCTATTTAGTAGGGATTATCAAACAAGACCTTTACTTTTGTTTTTTCATGGAAAATGGTAGCTTGAGCTACAATCCCCTTGTTGGTGTTCTGTCTTCTTGGGTAGAAATGCATGATGATTTAAGATGAGAGTTGGAAAAAACTCTAAACTAGGGCATTCACCTGGTAACCTTTCAGACCACCACTGGCATTATCATGAAACAACATTAGTGGATGGCAAATTAAAAGCAGTAATTGAGGCCAGTTGTATTTTTAGGAAATTTTGGAATCAGTTAACTATGCATTATAATTAACCCTTCTGAGTGGATAGATGTGTTCATATAGGCAGAATAATGATCTGTAACATTATCCGTATAGAACGCCGGCAGTCATAGACATGTCTAGCATCTGTCAGTGAAAGATAATGTGAGTTTGCAGTCAGCCACCATCCTGAAATATCACAGATACCTAGCAGTTCAGAAGGATGACTGACATTTTCACTTCTGTCTTGCTGATGCTGATGCTGATGCTGCAGGCTGGAGACAAAGCACCCATTTTGACATTAAAGATTTGGAGTCAATAGGACAGCATTTCTGTGATGCTCTCTTGAACTACTGCTTTCATACTGAGGAGGTAAGGAAAGTCCCCTCTATTCCTTTTCTTCTGCCTCAGTTCATCCTACTGTGACAAAACATAATATTTGATAGGGTTATAGCAATAATAAATTTGGTAATCGTTTTCTTTAATCAGTAAACTAAATTTGTGATGTTTCTTCTTATCATCTGTACCTGAAGGAACACGAGAAAGTAGTGAAACAGCAAGCCAGGGAGAACTCCAAGGTCCTGAATTCTGATGTGTTAGACTGGGATTCCAGGTAACTTAGAACTATTCAGATATACCACAAGTTATTCTATGTTCTCTGCACCTCATGAAGAGTGCCAGAGTAAATTTTAAAAATGTTACTAAAATTAGACTTTTAATAGTCACACTCTTTAATTTAACACTCCTTAAAAGACTGCATACAAATCTTATAGCCAAACCTTAATAGTCAGTTCATTGAAGTAGAGCTCTGTATCTACCCAAGCTGACATTCGTGAGGAGAAACGAAACTGCATTGGTACGAAGCTTAGTCTGTTGCATCACTTAAATCAATATGTTTTTTTCAGCCCTACATTTTTCAGAGCAAGCTAGCCACAATATAAGGCATATTGGTTTGTTTTTTTGTAAACCTGGTTTCATTAACCATGAGAGAGGCTAGTCTGATTCCATTTAGCCAAGTGGGTTAAGTTCAGGGTAATTGATAGCAGTGCAAGAATCTGTATGTTGACCAAACAATACATCTGTTAAACATGATCTGCTCCTCCTGTGCCAGTGCTGACTGTGAGTGACTGCAAGATCAGTAGTGCAGATGATTTATATGTTATGAACATCTGTGGACCTATGGTTATTTATTAGGGAATAAAGCTTTTGTACATTTCTGGGGGAAACAGTAATAGGTTGGATCAATCTCATCAAGCTTTAGGTGCCCAGAGTGTAGAAATTAAGAGCTGAGCTTCACAACAGGTGCTGAACTGCTAGGAAATGAAAAGGGACACAAGATCTTGATGCATGATTAGAGATCTAGGAGAAGGCTTGCTGGAAACAAAGAGAATTATGTTCTGTGAGAGGATTTGGGGGAAGAGGGAGAAGGTGTGTGAAGCAGAACTAAAAGAAACCTCAGTAGAAGCAGGAGGTGCCATCTGAATTGATCACAGGTGATGATGCCCAGTTTTTGCAGGTTAGCTGTAGGTCTGTAAAATTAAAATGTGAATCTGGAAGACAGGCATGTGGAAAACACATTTACATCTCTACAACTAGGGTTACTACAGAAAACACCTGCTAATGGTTGGAATGAATGCTGCAAAATACTGTTTGCAATCTCCAAATTTAGAAATGAAACAAAGCAATGCTCATCTTTCACAGCAGCCAAACTTCTGACAGCCCAGACTCCTGTGATCTTGTTGCACACCAGCTAAAAGTAGGTACTAAGGTATGCTATGACTTTTTCTTGTCTGTTTACATCTCTGTCCTGAATGCCACTGGGAAAGAATCACTAGGGTTTAACAGGCTCTGTTTTGAATAACCTTAGGATTAAGGCGGTCAGAATAGTAATTAACAAATTAGTAGTCTGTAGAGATACAGCCCAAATGCACAGTGCAAAGCAATAGTATTATTTTTCCCTATAGCTTAACCCAGACTGTCAAGAAGGTGCTGGTTTTGTTCCAAAAGAAGGTGGCTCTCTACCTGTCCAGTTCTGCAATACAGCTGAGTAAGCAGACAGAGGGTCACGAGGAGAGCACCAGCTTTAAGCACAAGAAGTATCATGCCCACATACACTGGTGTCAGCCATATTTTCAGATACCCAGTTCAGAATGTTCAGGAGTTGTGTCCTCTCACGCATACAGGCAAGTCATCACACTGGTGCTAAGTGCTGTCACCATCAGACTACCCTGTTGCCTGTTTCTAATCTCACAGGCAAATACAGCCCCAGATTTAACAAAGTGCTTTCATTGGAGGGTAATGAGACATGTTGTTTTCCTGAAATCTGTATTTCCTTGTTTTGCTGAAAAGAATAAATTGAAACATGTTTTTTTGTCCATGTTTATTTGGTGGTTATTTCTTTGGTGCTGTGATTACCATAATATTGCTCAAGATGTTTCCTGTAGATAAGCAAAACAAACTTTCGTGAGTGTATTACTTTTTAGAAAGCTTATGGATGAATCTTAGCCAACAATAATAGTTCTTGTAAATTGTTGCTTCCTGTTTGTGACATAAATACAGTAAACAAACAACAGTAAAAGGGGAAACTAGTACCAGGACTATGTACTAAGAGTGTGTAAAACTGAAGCGACCCCTGTAACACTTTGCAAAACATGCAGATAGGCATTTCAGATGACGGGGCTGGTTGACAAATTGCATGATTTGGAGTTTTAGCTCTAGTTTCAGAGATGACAGTTTGAAACATGATGTAGTCAGATAAGCTCTGGTGAGTGCACTTGTGGTGAAGGAAGCTGCCAGGGATTCCTTTATGTGCTCTGCCTCTCCCTGGAGGCACTTGCCCCTGGAGAAGTTATATAGAGAACACGTTTGTGCAAAGTCCAACAGTTCCACCCAGTCCCACTGTCATCAAGAGTTTAAGCAAAGCTACAAGGCTTTGTATTTAAGGAAGGTGAAGTCTGGGCAGACTGTCCACTCACTCAGCCCACCTGGGGGGCAGTAATTTCTGATTGAAACTTCTGATTTGCAACCCTATTGGATAATTGTCATTTCAGGGGACTTTCAAACTCAGAAGAAGTGTTGGAGTGATGTAATGCTGCTTTAGATAACACAGACAAACACAGAAGACCACTGCAGAAAGTTAGGGTATTGTTTCTCATCTATTTAGTTCAGTCTTTAAACCTGGTAGATTTGTGTGGTAATACACATAAAAGAAACATCCAAGGACAAAGAAGGGCAGGAATGCCTTCCTGGAAACACTTGAGAAGAGCATACAGAACTCACAGAATAGCATTTGTTAAAACTTAATTACTTCAGGGTCTGTACTAAATAGTGGATTAGCATATTCCTCATCCCAACAGACTTTTCATACCATGTGATGAACCATCTAACAACCACTTTCTGTCCTCCTCTCTTCCTGCCACATTCCTTGTTGTGTATTCCTTCCATTTATACCCCTCTGATATTCATTCCCTGCTATGACCTGATTTAACACATTAATCTGATAGAAAACAAACCCGCAAAAGGAATGAGATTATTTTCTGCTGGGTTAATGAGTTAAATCAGCTCACAAAACCATTTTTTTGAGCATCAGAGCCAGTTTAAGGGATGGAGGAAAATGCCAGCAGCAGGGATCAAAGTGGTAGGGTTAAGAATGAGGGACGCAGGACAAAGAACAAAGGAAAAGAGACTTTCTGCTTCAGTAGCAGGAAGCCCTTAGGAGATCTTAGGAGACTGTGGAACCACAGGCTCTAGGTGATTATTCAAACTTCCCTATTTTAAAAGTGACTGCACTTTAGAAATGAGTCACAAATTTAATAAACAATGAAGAGGAGGCTTCTCCAGCAGAGATGCCTCTGGGTACATAGCCCATTCCATCACATGCCTGTGTTTGGAGAGGATGAGTGTGTTTGGGACTGAACACGGCTTTGGCCACAGAAGAGCCTGTTTCTGCAACACCATGCCTGCCAATACCCATGAACACCAGAATACATTGCAAAACTATCAGTTAGCTGGAGCTTCACTAGGTCCTGTTCTGTTATTTCTGTTCTGAAGCACAGGCAAAGACATCTTTCATGCAATTAAATTGTATTAGTTGCATTCATTCATCTTCCATGCAACAAAGTAAATTGCTTTTGCTGGATGTATACTAGCAGCAAAACAGGTCAGAGTGATACTGTTACTGTGTAAAGAAAGTAACAAGAGTTTATCAAATAAGTTTAAAAGAACAGTACTTCACAATTCCTGCAAGAAGTTTCTTCCTTTTGTTCTTTTCTTGATTATGTGTTTTCCCATGTGGATCTACTTCAGGTACCAATTAAGGTTATCAGATCAATAGACTTACCAAAATTTCTGGTTTTGTTCTTGATGGAAGTACTTAAAGCTACTTGAAAAAGGTGAATAGCAACGAATATCACAGGTACAGTAGAGGTTTTGACAGAAATTCATCCATGTACGTAGCCCTCAATGGCACTTTGCTGATGTTCAGACTAGAAAACTGTATGGCTGTAAAACCATATATTTTATTGTTGCCTAGAGAAAGCAACTGTGTTTGGAAAGAAAAAAAAATCACACTAATATTTTGATGAGAAATATTCTTTTTACGTACATAAACATCATAATGCTGGCTGCTTTATTAATGCTTTCATTGGTTCAATAGGTAGACCAGTGCTTCCCAAGCTTTCTGCGTTTTATGCCAGTCTTTCTTTTCAGAAGCCGCGACACTGGAAAAACAGCAGTGGCAATTAATATTACTGAGAAAGCCTGGCTCTCCAGGTTCCCAGACTAAAAATAAACAAGTCAAACTGAGTAGGAAGTGAGGTCCCTTGTCAATATGATGTGTTTGTGTCCAGGTTCGTAAATATTTGCTGAACAGAACAGCAGAAGGAATTCAGTCTTGAGCAGCTTGCTTACATGTGTTCCTTCTGGCATTGTGATTATCATGTTATTTGCAACTCTTTTTTTTTTTTTTCCGTAGCTATAATACTCCCTCATGAATCAAAATGGTTCCATACTATTTTCTGTGCAGAAAAAAAACAAAACATCAGAACACTTTCACAGCATTGCTAAGAACAGAAGTCATGAAAGCAAAAATGTATTTTTCATCCTGGTAGAAACATGCTCTTTTTCTGACCAGAGACTGATATATGACAATTTTATTCAGGTACTGTAACTTTGGGCAAGCAATTTTGTCACCAAAAGCTGCTGACATAGAATGCCCATTGCTGTTTATGGTCTATTTCATCCATTAATAAAGTATCAACATCGACAAGTCAGGGGCTGGAAAAAATGGTAAAATTAATATATTATTTGATACATTTAGATCTTTCTGGCAAGGAATATGCCTTGGAGCTGGAGATTATGCCGGCTCTTCTTCAGTTTCGAAAACTACTAACACCTCACTCCCTCAGCTGTACCTGTTTCACTTGCATTTTCATTGAACAAGATTTTTGCCAAGTCCCTTAAAACATTTTCTCTTGTGTTTTCCAGTCGAGTAGAATGCTGGGAAGAGAAAGGAAAGGGTCACAGGATGTTCTAGGGGAACAGGCAATACATTTTTTAATTAACTCTGGGATTGTTATCAAGCCCCAGCTCTGAAACACTTGTGCTGGCAATATTTGTAAAGCTGTGTCGTGCCCCTTCCTACCATTCAGAATGTGTGATTCAGTACTCAGCATTAGCTGGCCTAGCAGCTACCAGGGGATTAAGTTTATTAAAAGGTCATTGTCAGAATAGTTGGTGTAAGATCTGATCTTTTTTAAAAAAGACCACTTCTCCATTATTGCTGTCCTACATAACTATTCAGAAAACGTGAGCCTCATTGTAATTGACAAACACGTAAAAATCCTAGATGAAAACAGTGGAGTCTAATGTTATGTTCCTACTTTCAGAAAGGAATTTGATTTAAATAATTTTTGTCATGCTGAGCACCCAACAGCTTGCAAGGTGAACACAAGTTGCTGAGTTTTTCAAAATCAGGCCAAATACTGAATGCCTAGCTTGCCTTCTGCTTGGGAGGGAAAAAAAAAAAAAAAAAGCCTGATCTTTACATGTTAACTCTTTTCCCACTTCTTCTTTAATACCTTACCAAGCTTCCCCTGTCCTAACCTGGGGTACACTCCTTGGACAAGTGCCTGATCACAAAGATGATAATACCTTTTTGTCATTCAATCTTTCGGAACTTATTAATAATTCATTTGTGTTTCTGTTCTGTTTCACAGGCTCAAGGCATTGAAACTCAACGTAAGATATTTCAGGTACTTGACCCAGTGAAAAAAGGTAAACATTATATGTTTTTTTTGATTCTTAAAATCCCAATAGCCATTTCTTTTCTGTAATCTCAAACCTCAGTAAAGAGTATGTCCCAAAAAGATAAGTACAGAGTTCTTTGGCTGGGATTTCAGTTGGTCTCAGCATTTGGAAGAGCTCATTTTTCTTTAGTTTAAACTGTCTTCATCACATTATTACACTCTGCGTTACTGATTGGGAACCATCTCACTGGAGAAAAACTGAACCCGAGCCAAATTCCAGAGACATGAAAAAATATTTGCTCCTGTTGGCAGCAGGGTACATGCATTTGTAATAATATGCTCATTTGGTCCAGAGAAACTAGAGGAGAAAACATTTACTGAAGTCAAATGAGGCAGACCAAATCCTATGGAAAATTGGGATCAACTGGAACTTTCTGGTTTCAGTACAGACAAAATGAAAGAAGCAAATGTGGAGGCTAAGGAAGCAGAACTGAAGGACTTGTGTCATTGCAAGCACTAGGAAATCTGGGAAAGATTTAGGTGTCAAAGTGAACAAGTAGCTCAACATGAGTTACCTTCATCGTGGGAAACATGGAAGGTGCCTGAGGACTGGAGGAAAGCG